TTAATCGCCACATTGGCTGGCCCCTTGCCTGCAAGGGGGCCAGGCGGTGGCGCAAAAAGTGTTGGAATAAGCCATGACGTGTGTGGTCGGACTCGTCGGGCGCGTCGGATGCGTGCGGGACGGGCGGGACACACTGATGCCGTCGGGCTCGTCGGGTTCGTCGGGCGTGTCGGTGACGCGCGGGACGGACGGGACGTGTGGGACGTTGCAGCGTGGCGTGTGTGCGTATGTGTGTGCATGTGTGTATGGTGTGGTGCTACAGCCGGTTGAGCTAGCTAGCTAGGTGGATTAGGATGCGTTTGGTTGAAGGTGTCATATGAATGGGTTGGGACCGTTCAATTTTTTTGGGATTGAATCATTCAATTCATGTGTTTGGCTGAATATAAGTGGTGAGCTAATTATTTAGGACGGGACCACCAGTCATGCTCACATAGTCATGCATGCAAAGGGTGGCCATTTGATTCGACCGATTTGGTTGGGTGGAACGGTTCAGCATCTTCATGGCATATTCTCTTTTTTTGGCTCGAACCATTCATGTGCTTTATAACCAAACATATCTATTTTCTGAACGATTCCAACCCATTCATAACCGCCCTTGCAACCAAACGCACCCTTAGCCGTCCGTTGTGCGCGGCCGAAGCGTTCGCGTCAAGCACCTGAGTGCGGCGTGCATGTAGTTAGCCAGTAGCTAGGATCGTGGAGTGTGGCGTGCATGTAGTTAGCCAGTAGCTAGGATCATGGGCTGGTTAGTTGAACGCCAAGTCGTGTGGACCGTGCTGTTAGTGGCCAGCATGGTGGACCGGCTGTGCATGCGTGCGTGAGGGTACTTAAAGACTTGTGAGCTGGTTGCTTTGGCAAGGTGAATACAAGTGAGAAAAGGGCTGTATGTGCGGCCGGAAAAAATTCTATGCTTCTTCTACCTTCATCGTCTACCTCTAGTCCGGCGTGAAAGAGAGCGGCAACAACAATTGGTATACAGAGCTTCGGTTCGGGCGATCACCGGCGACCATGGGGCTCGTCCCACACGCCGGCGGCGCGGACGGATCGGCGTCGATGGCGATGCCGATGCTTACGGTGGACAACTACACCGTCTGGGCGATCAAGGCGCAGGCCATCCTCGACGTGCACACCGTGTGGGAAGCGGTGGCGCCGGGCGATGCGGCGGTGAACGCGCGGAAGGACAAGATGGCGCGTGCGTTGCTTCTCGGGGTGTTGCCGGAGGATGTGCTGCTGCAGGTGTCGACGAAGCTCACCGCCAGGGAGGTATGGGACTCCCTGAAGGTGAGGTTCGTCGGCGCCGATCGGGTCCGCGCGGCGAGGCTGGGAACGCTGCGCGGCGAATTCGACCGGATGGAGATGGCGGACGGCGAGGAGCTCGACGTGTACGGCAGGAGGCTCGCGGCGATGGCGGCGAGGTATGCCAACCTCGGAGAGACGCTGGGTGACGCAGCACTTGTCAAGAAGTTGCTGGATACAGTGCCGGATCGCTTCTTCCCCGTTGTCGCCGGCATCGAGCAGTTCCACGACGTGACGGCGATGGCGTTCGACGAAGCGCTCGGGCGACTGCGTGCGTTCGACGAGCGGGTTCGGCGCCGTGGACAAGACAGCGGCGAGCGCGGGGGTGAGCAGCTGCTCATGACGGCGGCGTAGTGGGAAGCACGGGAGCGTCGACACGGCGGTGCTCGGGACGGCGACGACGGCGCAGAGTGGCGTCAGGGAGCGGCGGTAACAGGAGCAGGCGCTGCTACAAGTGCGGGGAGCACGGGCACTTCCGGCGCGAGTGCCCGCAGCTGCGGAAAGGACCGGTGGCGGAGCATGCTCTCTTGGCCGGCGCCAATATCGACGACGACGGACTCCTCTAGGCCGTGGCTTAGGGAGTGTGTGTTGGAATAAGCCACGACGTGTGTGGTCCGGCTTGTCGGACGCGTCGGATGCGTGCGGGACGGGCGGGACACACTGATGGAGTCGGGCTCGTCGGGCGTATCGGTGACGCGCGGGACGGACGGGACGTGTGGGACACTGCAGCGTGGCGTGTGTGCGTATGTGTGTGCATGTGTGTATGGCGTGGTGCTACAGCCAGTTGAGCTAGCTAGCTAGGTGGATTAGCCGTCCGTTGTGCGCGGCCGAAGCGTTCGCGTCAAGCACCTGAGTGCGGCGTGCATGTAGTTAGCCAGTAGCTAGGATCGTGGAGTGTGGCGTGCATGTAGTTAGCCAGTAGCTAGGATCATGGGCTGGTTAGTTGAACGCCAAGTCGTGTGGATCGTGCTGTTAGTGGCCAGCATGGTGGCTGTGCATGCGTGCGTGAGGGTACTTAAAGACTTGTGAGCTGGTTGCTTTGGCAAGGTGAATACAAGTGAGAAAAGGGCTGTATGTGCGGCCGGAAAAAATTCTGTGCTTCTTCTACCTTCATCGTCTACCTCTAGTCCGGCGTGAGAGAGAGCGGCAACAACAAAAAATTGAGCGCCACCATATGGCAGTGAAGCCCGAGCTCTGACAAGCTCCGAATGCGATCCAACACTGGAAGCCAGGCTCTATCGATCACCGGAGCCCTCCTCCATCCTTTATGCTCGATTGCGCGGGCCATGGGTTGTTGCAGAAGCACTCCAGTGTCCCGGACGCCGGTGAGCACCCACCTTTGATGCCAGTTTGCTGAGACGGAGTGCAGTCCAAGCTCTGGATACCCAAGGGTTTTCACTCCGTCGGGCTAGGATGAAAGACACGCATCCAAAGACCTGATCCCCAGGGGACATGTGCATCGAGAAGAAATGGCGGAAAAGCTGCAGCGATGAAATCACCCCCACAAATGCTTCGCACAAATGGGCGAATAACGCTAGAGTCAAGAATGCATTTGGGCAGAGATGGAGCAAATGAATTTGGTAGTGCTCTAGAACGGCGTGAAGAAGGCAGAAAACAGGGGGACCAACCCCGCAGCAAGGAAGCTGACGAAGATGGGTGTGTCGATGACATCGGATTCCGCCGGCCACCTTGAGTCGGGCCCCCCGACCCGTTGCTCTCCCCACTGATGAGGTGGCGGACCTTATCGAGCCCCTCGGCGTTCATAATCCTCATGCGTGGCTAAGCCTGCGGGGGTGGGTTCTGACGGTGTGGCCCCTCGCTTCGTCCTCTGTTCGCTGACGCATTTTTTCTTCGCAACACCATGATATGGTGAGGAGGCGTTTGCTTTGGGAAGGAGAGACGAGGCATGGGCTCCATCATCTATTGACTCTTCGAACATATGTTCAGCGGGGGCAGGGGCTGAAACCGCTTGCCAATCGAGAAACCATTGTTTTTTGTCCGCTCATCCCAGTTGGGGGAATCATGGAACAAGAATCGAGAAGACGCCAACACATGTTGATAGTTTGGCTCAACATCTTCATGATGGCGTGTGAAACTGAGATATTGAGACGACGTATTGCTGCATTGAAGGCCGACGACACATGTTGGACCCTCTCCGATCTATGGCCCCATTGCTCCTCCTTCGTATACCATGGAGGTTGCGATCGAAGAATGGGCCAGGGGCTACTGTTGGACCCGTGGATTATGGGGTATCCAAGACCGGACGACCGAGACGATCCAAGACGGTACCATGGAGAAGCAAGGAGTAAATACGGTGATGGAAGGAGTTCTCCAAGACAATTTGGGGATTTCTCCCTCTCGGACGAGCCTCCCGGGAAGCCATCCAGGGAACCTCACATGAGATGGGTGAAGGGGTTTTGCGGTACAAAGGTGGACTGCACCTACGGACGAAGCATGGAGCGGAAGCAATGAGGTTTGACTCTAGGCGACCTGCCGATGACGTCCCGTCCTTGGGTGGTCATCAACAGTGTTGCGGTACAACCCACTTGAGCACGCCACAAGGTGGCTTTGTAGCAGGCTATGGGTGCTAGGGGGTACCTTCTGTGATTCTCTCCTTTCACCTCGAACTGCCTTCCTCCCTCGTCCACGTTGTATAAATAAGGGAGGATTGGGACCTTGAACCTTAGATTGCTCAGTCCCTGGCCGAACTCTCAAAGGGTTGATGCTCACAACTCATATGTAGATTCTTAGAGACCGACAACGCACACTGCTAAAATTTAATTTACTGGCTATGTTTCCTGTGTTGAGACGCTCATAAAGTTATATGGACGACAAGGCTGCAGGGTACAAAGTACTAGCAGTGTTTGATAAATCTAAACATTGTCAGTACCTCAGATCTCAGCGATGTTCGAGCTGTAGGCGAACACAGTTGATAGTTTGGAGAAAAATTATAGTCGCGTTCTATTTTTCTGACACGTAACCAGTAGCGAAATCCTACAAGGTTTTTTTTCTACTAGTGATAGGAGTAATATGGCTTCCCTAAGACTCATAACATGAATATGAATTAATCTAAATATATTTCCTTGTGCACTTTTTTGTGAGTGCATTGCACATGAGCAACTAGTAGTTCTATTACAATGGAGCAAAACTTGTTCATTTAACTTAAGTACTATCATTCCCCTAACATTTTCCATTAACTAAAACCCAAATACATGCAAACGTATCCTTTAAAGTAAGTTCTAAATGCCCTCAGTTAGATTGTTTCTTAATATGTAGATTTGCCCTTTCTTAAGTAATTCCTAGCTAGATACACATTTACTTTCTTAATCACTATATTTATTATTGACTTTTAAATGCTTCTCATTATTTTGTCATTTATATCTAGATTACCCCTTTTACTAAACTGATTCCATGTATATGTTGTGTATTCTTTGTACTAGATTTGCTTTCAAATGATCCTCATTTATTTGTTTACTAAAGAGAATATTTGCCTTCAATTTCATTGAATGAACTCATTTACTCGCTACGTTCATCGTATAAGATTAGCTTTTAAATGTGGCACATTTATTTTTCTCATGATATTTGCACCCTCCTCACCTACTCCTACATACACATTGGGATGCTTTACACTATTTAAAGAGGGGTAGGAGGGCCTCCGTGGAAAGCAAACAAGCACAAAAAATTGTTTCCTTCTTGACATCTAAATGGAGAATTGTCTTCAACATATTATGTTGTATGTGCTACTTCTCGCTAATGTAATTACAGGAAGATCTTCCCCTACAGAGGTATGTGTTATACTTTACTCCCATTATTTAGGTCGAGACATATTCAATATTGCAATAATCATGATTTACATTCTTCATAAGTTGACTTTTCTTCATTTTTATAATTTGAAGCAAGGAAACTCATCAATGCCATGGCCCTCTGTTCTTCGTCCAGTGATTTTCCATACTAGTGAAAATTTTGCCTCAGATCAAAATTCAGTAATCTCTTATGTGAGTTCCATGTGTCTATTGTATTTATTTACTTCAATTATTAATTTCACAAACATAACTTAATATGCATCCCTGACCCTTAGACTATGTTTGATAGATCACGAGTCATGTGTGGACTCCTCGAGGTGGTGCCGAGAACTATTATGGCATTGAGGCTACAATTGATGTATATGGATTTCATTTACAACCCGGCCAATTAAGTGCAGCTGGAATTTGGATTATCAACAGAGGAGATGGAAAACCATCTTCAGCTAGTGGATTTCAAGTTGGATGGAGTGTAAGTTACATCTAGGCTGGAGAGCCACAAGTTGATTGGACTGATTTAATTTATTAATCAATAAAAAACTAAGGAAATAAAAGGAACTATTGTAATATGCTCTTTGTACTCCACAGAACCCAATCAATAATTTTTTGCGTATGTAAACTTTCTCGCCAAAATAAAGGACACAAACAAATCTAATGTGAAAATTTTCTAAACAATATAAAATATTGTGAAAAATCATCACGAAAAAGAGCAGTTATAAGAAGCGTATTGAAAAAATAATTATATTATGCGACTTCAAATAGACATGGAATAATTTAAAGAAGTTTATGCATTGTAAATACATCACTACATAAGACTACCATATTTTGCGCATCGATGTGAACACCAATGAATTTTATGCAGATTTTTCCGAGGTTCTACAAAGATTCACATACCCATTTCTACACATCTTGGACTGTAAGTTTCATTCCGTGAACTCTTTAATGTATAGTACTAATAATTTGTGCTGAAGATATACATTTAGGAGTGATTACCTCAAAGTGTTCATTCCACTACTATACATTCACGAACTATATGTGTCATTGGCATGGAAATAGCAGAAGAATGGGCTATCTTGTCATTAGTTTTCGTGATTTTAAGTTAGCAAGGTGTGTAGTAGGGACTTATTTGGAGGCCATCCTACACCAATAAAAGGTTCACACATTGATGCCTTTTGAATAGGTTTGGTGCATCCTTGGATCCCAACTTAATCTCGTGTTGCAAATGCAATAAACGGAAGTGTCTAGAATAGCCAATGGGATAAAATATAAGGCCTCCTTGATCCTCCCTTAGATGAGAGAAATGCTTGATTGGTGACTCGGTTCCAAGACAAGTCTACCTCTAAGCTCCCTACACTCAAAATGATTTGAGTCTTTCAAGGTTCCTCGGGTCTGTCTCGACACTTCGAGCTGTAAAGGGCTCTATGGACTACATCTACCCCTAAGCTCTAGTGAAGTGCGTTTGGATGGTTACATGCTTCACAGAGGGCTTACAAAGATTATGGGTGGCTGAAAAATGGCCAAGAGGCTACCTATTGTGGTGGTCGATAGGTAGAAGGGATACAATAGTAAATTTTTGTCTACTAGTCTATGGTAAAATAGGGAAGAGGCGTGAAGTATGTTCCAGGCTGGACTAGTCCACATATCCCTCCACTTAAAGGTTCCACTGTACTGGCTCTTCACATTAGAATTTTTCTTATAGCTATTGTTTCCTTCTTTTGATTTGTTGGCCATGACTAGTTTATTAGACTTTTGTTGAGTACTTGACTTCAAAAATTAGCCATGCATACCATATAGGACTATGTGGGACCCATAAGTAGGATTAGCTATTCTGTAAACAATATGTATGCCTCTTTCACTTTAAAATGAATTCACATACTAAAGTGATCTTTGTCACATCCAAAAACTTTTGGTACAATGCATTATTTTGGCCCTGAAATATTAGGAAAGGCTCCTACTACATATTTAAAAAGCGAGGTCTTCACCTTTGATCAGTATCACTAAAAGGTTGAAAGCAAACAAAGTGTCTAACCAAGGGAGTATAGAAAGGACAAAATGAACAGTTTAAAGTCACACTTAACCTTAAGGACAATTAGGGATTTGTCTCATTGGAAACATAGTAGCCAAGACTGGGTACTACTCCCCCCTAGAAACATGATTGTGGATTTTTTCAAAAAGATTAATGCATAGTTTTATGAAAATCATAAATGTTACACCATCTGTTCCAAAGTAGTTACCATGGTGAACTAAACCAATAAGAATTATGAAATGGAGGGCGTAATGTATACCAAAAAAGTATGCAAGACTCAAAAGATTGTAACATGTTTTCTATATTGCTATGACAGAGTGGTGGATCGCCCGCGAAGGGTTGCAGTGACATGATTTGTCCCGGCTTTCAAAAGACATCATCGAGTATAGCTCCGGGAAGTATCATTAATCCAGTTTCAGATATCCGGGGATGAAAATCATACATTACAATAAGAGTGTTCAAGGTAAACATGTTGCCCAAATTCTAGCTAGATTATTTGTCCTCTTGCATTTTTTGGGGGGATGGGGAAGGGGAGCAGTGCATTTACCTTGGTGTTTTATATTTATATTAAGGTGTTCAAATGAGTTGGAAACTAGAACTAGCTGGAATCAAACTATAGTGAACATTGTTGAGTCCCGCACCAACCCTGTGAACTCAGCAATGTTCAAAATCTCGCATAAAGCTTTTGCTAATTGTACTTGTTGGACCGACCTATAATGACGTAAAATAACTTCTTATCATTGTATATTGGCTCATGTTGGTAGGGTCGGATGCAGCATATTTTTGGAGAATGCCATGCATGTTATGTAGTAAAAAACTATTCCTGACTGCGACTCACACACACTTTATGTTGTCACTCCATAAAGTTACAAATCCACTACGGCTGGCAGTGCACTACTTAATTAGCCCCTGTGACAGCAATTTTATGTCTATTAGTCACCATAACTTCTAATAATAATTATGTTGCTTACAGCTAGGCCCAGTCTATCAGACTCCATCAACTGAAATGAATATTGATTGATTAAAGCATATGCAGTTTTGTGATATGACTATCCAAATATGTAATGCCTTCATAAATTCTCTTATAAGTGTGATTTTGATAAGTTTATCAAACTGAATGCTCTCAAGAATGTTTTAAATATTTGTTATTTATGTTTCCAGGATAAATCTTCTGGTGACTGGCACGTCCATTATGGATTAAACGGTGGTATCAAACCAGTTGGCTATTTTCCAAAATCCTTGATTCCAGGACTTATTGATAGGAAAGTTGAGATTAGTTTTGGCGGCTTTGTGTCTCACCAAAAGCCACAACCAAGTCCTCCGATGGGAAGTGGCTACGCTCCAGCCAGTGGCAATGCTGCGTCCTTCAACAATATCAAACTAATCGATGCCAATGGCAATGATCATCTTGTGAACACAAATCTTCCATTTCGTGTGGACCCCAAAAGATGCTATCCTATATCTTACATTGATTCAGCCAGGTTCTTTTACGGGGGATCTGCATGTGCTGATTATACCTGGATGTCCCGTATATGTACTTGAATTTCTAATAAAATAAGAAATGATTGTTCAAATTAATGCCTTCAATTGATAATGGTGGATACGAGGTGAGAATCTAACAAGTGGTTGGATATTTAATGGTCATGGTGGGTGAATTAGGCAACCTATTATAGAAGTTTCGAGATTCTCTTTCCCAGTTATATATTGTGCAATATGCAGAGCTTGTACAACCTACCCTCTTATAGGAAAAAAATAGCCCTTCTTTTTAGAACTTAGATAAAAAGAGACTCAAAGAGGATTAAAGTGCAAGTATAAATGCCTTACAAACTTCTTTTTTGAGAGCATGCAAATTGTGTGCCTTAAGTTTATTGAAGTTAGAGGGGAAAATACAAAAAACCAGTAGGTTCCCACAATAGGTCAGTGAGTAGCGAACACCACCAGATGGCGAGACACAGACAACCAAGAGAAAGTCATCATCTTGGAGTCACCTGTGACGGTGTACATAGAGCCCTTGGCGAAAACTCTAGTACCACGGTGAACACCAGTGGAACATAAACAAGGATGTCATCACGCGTAGGTAGAACACACGTGAGACACTAAGGACTGGAGACATCCCTTGCCGATTTGTAGATGGGGTGCAAAGCGTGGATCAATCTCAAGGGGAGAAGTGTAGAGAGGACACCCAGGTTCGGGCCGCATGGCTGCATAACACCCTACTCCTACTTTTATGTTGTTGATTTGGTGGACAGAGAGCTTCAAGTCCTTTTGGGAACGGAAAGTGTAGTGTTGCTCCCATCTAAATTCTACCAAGTGTCCAACCTTATCCTAAAGTAGATCTGGTCTAGTGCTTATCCCCTGCCTCCCATAGCTCAGTTCTCCTTTTATATTGCAAGGGCCACCATAGTTGTTACGAAGGAGGGCACCTACCACAGAGAGGTAGGTAAGTTCATTAAATGCTTGATGAAGTGTTGCCGTCTTCTGGTCTCTAAGAATGAACACACATCTTGTCTCCACCGCCCAGGGTGTTTACCTAGCGCAGGTGTGACACTCGTCCTAATAGGTGCAGACCATGTGGAAATATTATCAGGGTGATTCATCCCTTGTATCGCTGTCATTCTATTGGCACGCCTGCACACCAACGTGCATCGTAAAAGGTCTGCTTATGTAGGACTAAACACACCATGGGGGGGGGGTTGCGATGGCTGGCTGTCTTCACTTAACAGATGTGGGGCAGGTGGAATGCTCACTGCCGGGTGTGCTTGTTCCTAGAAGTCGGCTGCCCCGGCTCGTTGTCGGGTGTCCTGCAGTTGTTCCTTCCAGTACTTAGTTGCTAGCTTGGAGAAGAGTGTAGCAGATCTTGACAAAGATCTGCATGCTACCACAGAATTGTGGTTGAAGGATTATTGCCGGAGTGTTTCTTCATCTGTACTGCCTCGGAGGGGAGGTGACTGTGGCCTGTGCGTAATTGGTTTCGTGAACCCAACGGTCATGGTACCGACAGAAGCTTCCAGGCCTGCGCCGGATGTGTACCTCACACAAGGTCAAGGTCGTGAGCCCCCTCATCTGGTCAAGTCAGTTGCATAAGATAATGTGAACTGCAGTGAGTGGAAAAATCCCTCGAGCCACCTGTTCAAATGCTAGTAGACGCTTAGGCTTGAATCCTCCTGTCCATAACTGCAACGGGATTTGATGGCATATTGGGGTACTTTGCAATGCATGGCGACCTTTTCACATCAACAACATGAATCAAATCTACGGCTTCAGTTTTTGACGACGCGTCAGTCCGCGCATGTGGCCAGTTCACTCTTGACCCCCTTCAGTTCTTGCACCGATGAGAGAAGTCATGATGTCGCTTTCCATTTATTCCCAAGACAGATGAGACAGGGCGCCGCTTGAGTTCATCTTGGGAACTATAGGTGCACTTGTATGACCGATGATCCTCACGATCGAGGAGTTGATCTACCAGGTCCTTCGGCTTATAAACGCCGAGAAGGGACGAACTGCTCCTCCTCTTCCTTTAGTTATTCTCCCTCACTCCTCCTTCATCTCCTCATGGAAACTCAAGAAGTTGCAGAGTTTGAGGCGAAGCTCCTCGCAGAGGAGGTCCAAGCCCAAAGGCTGGAGCTCCAGGCCAATGACACAAGCTCAAAGACCTAAAGGAGAGGATGAGGATGGAGCTCCATGTTGAATATATTATGTGCATGTATATTGTGTCTTGGGCCCACCTCCTAGTTGCCATGTATAGTTAAGGTTGTGGCCCCATCCTGTACATCATATATACGTGCCCAATGCACCGATCAATCTAATTGTGTTGCACGGCCTATTCTGAGTCTTCTACATGGTATCTATCACAAGTCGGTCCTAACCCTAGATGTCGCCACCGCCGCGCCTCCACTCCACCGCCGCTTCCTCCACTCGTGGCCGCCACCTGCCGCTGTCGGTTCCCTCCGGCCGCCGCCACCGGTTGCCGCTGCCCTCCCCACCCGAAGCCGCCGCCGTAGCTGTCGGTTCCCTCCGGCCACCGCCGCCCGTTGCCGCTGCCCTCCCTACCCGAAGCCACCGCCGCCAGCAGTCGCCGCTGCTCCTTCCACTCTCGCTTCCGCACCCACTCCCCACCACCCACCCCCGCCACAACTCCCCACCCGTGCCGCC